CAATCTGTGGGCCACGGGTTAAAATCTCCTCACCAATTATGTTCCCCCTTTCATTCGTTATAAGAAGCGTTATAATGTGACGGTCAATCCCACTTTTCGTTGGTAAAGAGGAGTCCAAGATTTGGCAGTGGGCCTCGCCCTTTCATTCGTAGGAGCGTTATAATGTGACGGTCAATCCCACTTTTCGTTGGTAAAGAGGAGTCCAAGAGTTGGCAGTGGGCCTCGCCCTTTCATTCGTAGGAGCGTTATAATTGACGGTCAATCATACTTTTCGTTGGTAAAAGAGTAGTCCAAGAGTTGGCAGTGGGCGTTGCTGACTAGCTACCTTCTTTCCACTCGATCATTTCTAAATTACGAACCTGCTAGTGAAGATAGCCTTCGTGTAGCTTTGCGCGAAATACAACAAACCAAATGTATTTGAAAAACTTCAAGGTCAACATTCTGCTTTGGAAGAGTTCGAAAGTAAACACAGACTGTTTTAAGATATACCTTTGAAAATGGAATCTTCAGTCTAATCTTTTATTGTTTACAATTGTGTATGACAGGAATCTTTCTTAGTAAATCTCATTCATAAGTTTTATTGGACATTGAGATGGTTTTGAAACATTTCCTCTTGATCAGCTACTTGATATCTGTTCATGTATTCAAGGAACCAAATATGTTTTTGTTCATCATTTCAATGGTAATCTTTGTGTTCAAGGAGCTGAATATGTGTTTTTTTTCGTAATTTCAATGATAATCTTTGTATTCAATGAGATAAATATGTTTTTTGTTCATCATTTCAATGGTAATCTTTACGTTCAAGGTGCTAAATACGTGTTTTGTTCGTAATTTCAATGATAATCCTTGTATTCAATGAGATAAATATGTTTTTGTTCATCATTTCAATGGTAATCTTTGTGTTCAAGGAGCTAAATGTGTTCCTTTTCTCATCATGTGGATGATAATCATTGCTTATACATCTTCACACTAATCAGGAGAAGTTTCTATTTCACCTGAGATAATTATTTTCACCCATCACCAGCTATTCGTGGTAAGTCCCACTATTTGTGGATAAAAAAAGTAACTCAAGAGTTGGCGGTGGGTGGTGTTTGCTTGCTGCCTTCCTTCTACTCTGTCACTGCCAACTTATATATATATATATAGTGGAGGAATCAGAGTGACATGAATTTCTAAAACTCGTAGAAAAAGTGTTTTTCAAGATACGCTAACGAACTGTCGTACAGTTGTTGTTATATTAGAACGTGGCCGAGTGCGGCAAAGTGGTTAGAGTCCCGGGCTGTGTGAATCTGAGGTGGTCCAATGTTTATCGTCCCGTTACCACCAAAAAAATAAAAATGAAAGAAATCACTTTCCGCCGTGAGTGGTTTATAAGAGTGAAAGTTAAATCGCACTATTCGGTCTGATAAGAGCAAGCCAAGAGCTAATGGGGGATGGTATTGACAAGTTGACCTCCCTGTAGTCTATCAATATTAAAAATTAGGGGAGGCTAGCCCAGATAGCTTTCTTTTAGCTTAAACAAACCAACCCTGAAACATAAGTGATATTCTAGTGACATTGACTCCTTCCATCTACGTTATTGTATATTGTAAATATATTTTCGACCTTGATAAATGCGTTCTCTACACGTGTGCACTTCATGTGACTGTATTGTCCCCCGCTGGGACAGTGGTAAGTCTACGGCTTTACAACGCTAAAATCAGAGGTTCGATTACCCTCCGTGGACAGAGCAGATAGCCCGGTGTGGCTTTGCTATAAGAAAATCACGTGACTGTATCTTTTTTTCTATTAAAAGTATTTATAATGCTCTTTCGGTTGATTTCTGTATTAATTTTATGTAATATCTGAATGGCTGAAAAACTGCATGTGTAAGATCAAGTGAAACCAACAAATAATTAAAACAAAACTATTGTCTTTGTATTTATGCAGATTAACTTTCTTAATAAAGGTTATTTTATCTTGTGTCAAAATAACGAGGACAAAAACATTTAAATAAGTTAAACCATAGCTTACAGAAGTGTTGTTATACAGATAATGTCTTTGCTAGAGATTAAAAACTGTCTAAATAAAACATAAAAGGACCTGTCTCTAGTCACGAGGATAAGAAAAGTTTTTCTTTGGTTTTAATCATACTTCCCAGAGTTTTATAATGACGTTGTGATAACATTAGTATCATCATATTTTACCCTTCTCTGACAACTGTATAACATATTTTTATTCAGGTATATTCAAGTAATCTTTCTTAAATTTCACGCAGTTCTTCTGCATGGAGGTGTAGCGTCTTCCTGGTAAACCAAGTTTATGAAGGTTATATAAATGCACTAATTATCTTGCTTCGGTGAAAGTTACATACTATAACAACTATTCCATAGAGGCTTGTACTAGATTGATCCCGTGTCTGTATCTACTTTCTGTGGTACGATAAGCCCATTTCAAGGGATGATACAGGTAACTGTAGAAGTTGAAAATGAGTATGGTTATGGGGTTCTTTCCCATGTATATATTATTTTGAATATTCTTTGATAGAGCTAATTAAGGTTTGTGGTGTAGTGCACTAAGACTCTCATCTAACTTGAAAGTGTGGTACTTCATTAATTCTTTTTTGATTCTGTCGCTGTCTTGTAGGGACGTTTTGTGATACTTCATTAATTCTTGATTCTGTCGTTGTCTTGTAAAGACATTTTGTGGTACTTCATTAATTCTTGATTCTGTCGTTGTTTTGTAAGGACGTTTTGTGGTACTTCATTAATTCTTGATTCGTCTTGTAAGAACGTTTTGTGGTACTTCATTAATTCTTGATTCTGTCGTTGTTTTGTAAGGACGTTTTGTGGTACTTCATTAATTCTTGATTCGTCTTGTAAGAACGTTTTGTGGTACTTCAATAATCCTTGATTCGTCTTGTAAAGACGTTTTGTGGTACTTCGTTAATTCTTGATTCTGTTGTTGTCTTGTAAATACGTTTTGTGATACTTCGTTAATTATTGATTCTGTCGTTGTTTTGTAAGGACGTTTTGTGGTACTTCGTTACTTCTTGATTCTGTCGTTGTCTTATAAAGACGTTTTGTGGTACTTCATTAATTCTTGATTCTGTCGTTGTCTTCTAAGGGCATTTTTTGGAAGTCTTTTTCTTCGCTCCAGCAGTACGTTACAGTTCTAAAGAACATAGAAGCTGGCCAGTGGATAAAGTTATTTGTGAATGGAGATTTATTTTGTTTGTTCATATTACTTGCTTTCATTTGTTGTCCGTGTTCGAAATGTTATTCTGCATAACATTTTGAAGATATTTGATGATCATTTTCCGAGAAATATCAGCGAAGCTCAGTACCACAAGATTTACTAGTTTTATAAGCCACTTAAAGTCTAGTTTTATAAACACCTTAAAGTCTAGTTTTATAAACCCCTTAAAGGCTAGTATTATAAGCCTCTTAAAGATTAGTTTTATAAGCCACTTAAAGACTAGTTTTATAAGTCCCATAAAAACTAGTTTTATAAGCCCCTTAAAGGCTAGTTTTATAAACCCCTTAAAGTCTAGTTTTATAAGCCTCTTAAAAACTAGTTTTATAAGCCACTTAAAGACTAGTTTTATAAGCCTCTTAAAGACTAGTTTATAAACACCTTAAAGTCTAGTTTTATAAGCCCCTTAAATACTAGTTTTATAAGCCTCTTAAAGACTAGTTTTATAAGCCACTTAAAGACTAGTTTTATAAGCCTCTTAAAGACTAGTTTTATAAGCCCCTTAAAGGCTAGTTTTATAAGCCCCATAAAGACTAGTTTTATAAACCTCCAAAGTCCAGTTTTATAAGCATCTTAAAGACTAGTTTTATAAGCCCCTTAAATACTAGTTTTATAAACCCCCAAAGTCCAGTTTTATAAGCATCTTAAAGACTAGTTTTATAAGCTACTTAAAGACTAGTTTTATAAGCATCTTAAAGACTAGTTTTATAAGCCCCTTAAAGACTAGTTTTAGAAACCCCTAAAAGATCTAACTGATCGCAATTTTTATTTACGAAACTTTTTTTCTAATTTGAAAACAAAAAAATGTTTAACTTGTTTTCTTTTTAAAGATCTTTACTTAGAAGAAGGAAAGAAAATGAGAGTAAGCGTGAATAATCTTGCTGATAGACGTGCTTGTTATGATTTTCTTGCAGGAAACTGAGAGAGCCGTTCTTCAGGGACTTGTTATTTAAACAAATATTTTATGAAACTTTTTAATCCCCATTTAAATAAGCCATGGGCCCGGCATGGCCAGGTGGTTAGGGCACTCGACTCGCAGTCTGTTGGTCGCGGTTTCAAATCCCCGTCACACCAAACATGCTCGCCCTTTCAGCCGTGGGGGTGTTATAATGTGACGATCA